TCAGTCCCTACTGGGGCTGCTTGCAGGGTGAGATACAATAGGAGCCATTTTGACGTGACTCCTGAAGAGTGGGGCAGGTTGGATGGAGTGAATCCCCAGGAGAGTGTGGGGGTGGGATACACAGTGTAAACAAGATAGGTAGAGGGTATTGAAGCTGCTTCCCACAGGTATCTGGCTATCTACGCTTGGAGTAGGGGTGGGTATATGGGGAGGAATGGCACTTGCCAGCTCTTTTGTTCTTGGAGAATTCTCTGAATGATCTTTTCCCCTCTAGCATGCATTCTGAAATTAGTAAATAAATCTCCTTCTCGTATATCCCATGTGCTTTTCAGACTGCTGCTTCTGTGCTATATCTAGGTGGGATTGTTTGCTCTACTGTCTTGTTAAGGGCAGAGACCCAGTTTCTTGTCCCTCTCCACATCTCCCAGAGTTGAGCCTGCCAGTTTTTAAATTACCAGAGTTAAGCCCCACTGGTTGTAAAAAACTCATAAAGTTAAGCTCCATGGGTTTTCAAAGCCAAATGTTATGGGGACTTGTATTCCTAGTGCAGGTCCCCTGTGCCTGGGGTGCCTGGTATGAGGTCTCCTCCATGCTTGTGATACCCCTCCCATTTGTGTTTGGTCTCACCAAGAGTTTGCTTCCCTTCCGCCTTGACTCCTCTGACCTCATCTCTATGAGTAACTGTGGAAGTTCTATTCTGCTTGTCTTTGGGTCATTTTCTGCTTTGTTTGCACTGATGTGGCTATTATCTAGGTATGTTCATTGGACCAAGTGAGGTTAGGATCCGCCTACTCTGTTATCTTCCTAGAAGTCCTCCCATTGTTAAATGAATATTTTAAAATATTTTTAGTTTAATCATCATTGCCTATAGAAGAATTTTGATAAAGAATGTTTTCTAACTAGAAGTTTATTTTTTTTTTATTATGTTTCTGATGTAGTAACTTCAAGTATCTAAATACATCTTTAATAAGTATTCCTTGTCTTGGGCGCCTGGGTGGCTCAGTCATTGGGTGGCTGCCTTCGGCTCAGGTCATGATCCCTGGGTCCTGGGATTGAGTCCTGCATTTGGCTCCTTGCTCGGCAGGAAGCCTGCTTCTCCCTCTCCCACTCCCCCTGCTTGTGTTCCCTCTCTTGCTGTGTCTCTCTCTGTCACATAAATGAATAAAATCTTAAAAAAATAATAATAAGTATCCTGTCTTTATGGGGCCAGTTGCTATGAAAAGATTATTCTTTTGGTCAAAAGTAAAGTTAATTTAATATTTGCATTTTTAAAAAAGATGTATTATTTATTTGTGAGAGAGTGCATGAGTGGAAGGGGAGAGGGTGAGGGAGAGAGAGAATCTGAAGCCAACTCTGTGCTGAGTCCGGAGCCCAACACTGGGCTCTCACAACCCTGAGATCATGACCTGAGCCAAAACCAAGAGTTGGACACTCAACTGCCTGTGCCACCCAGGCACCCAATATTGTTTGTTTTAACACTAATATTTGATATTGGGTTATAAAATAAATCTTTTTCCTTCTGCACATTCTTAGACTATGGTAAATCCTAAATATGATAATTTAGTAGGTAAAGATTCTGTCAGTGGAAAGTCTCTCTACATAGGGTAGGTCATAAGCTTCTGAGAATAACTTTGCATCTTAAGGAATCTTGGATCTAAGAGGAACCTAAGAAATAGCTAGTCTAGTTGCCCACCCTTTGTCTCTGTCTCTCTGTCTACGCGCGCGCGCACACACACACACACACACACACTCAAACTTTATAGATAAGGCACTGAGGTCTCTATGGTCTATATTCTTTGCTTAAGGTAGTATAGGGAGTCATCAGCAATCTCTGTCTTTTGCTCTATGTTCTGCTATTTTTCTCTTATGTGATTTTAAGAGGATATACACATAATTCAAGGGTCCCCAGTAGTTTGCCTGCTTTAAACACCTGTGGGTCTAGCATAGTTTGAAATTATCACTACTAGTAAGTGCCTTATTTTGAAACATTTCCCCTTAAGAAAACCCTGAACAACAGTTATGGTGCTTGGAAAGGATGACCATAGCCATGAAGGAGGCATGATCGCAGTACAATGGTTGCTGGTCCCAGTTCTTCCCTGAGGAGGGGGAACCCACATGGCCTGGAGAAAGAAATGATGGCTAAGATCTGAAGCCCCAGAGGAGAAATATGGTAGATACACTCTGTGGTTCACGGCCTGGTGGGCAGCCAGAGGGCAGTGTGGATGCATCAGACCCCTGGGCACAGCCTGTTGTAAACATGATCTCATTTACAGCCTCACCACAAAAACCTGAATAATGTAGATTTGGCTTATGTAGAGGAATGGTTGGAGAGAGATGAATATCATAGTGATGAGGGAAGCAAGCATTCAGCTAAAAATTAGAAAAATAACAAACAGGAAAGAAGCTCAAACCCTGAAATTGAAAAACAAAAACAAAATACACAAAATCTTTACTAATCAAATACTGTGTGTCCTTTTACCACTCATACCTTCCCCAGCCTCATTTGAATGTAGTGTGTGTTTCTTCCTGAGATTGAATGAAGATTGATTCTTATTTATCAATGAATGATTAAATACGTCATAGTAGATTACAAAAGATTGCTATTTGGAACAGCTGTTCTAAATGTGTGATTTGTGATGTGCTACTGAATCACACTATCCCATCACTTTAAATGGTTGACTGATGACTTTATGTTTTCTCTATTTTAGACTTTTTTGTCAATTTATACAACAGCTTCTGTAAACTATTAAACAACTAGTGAGCGGGTTCAGTATTGCTTTTCAGAATGGCCACAGTGACTTCTAGTTACTTGTATCAATAGGTGTTTACTCATGCATTCCCGGAAAGAGAGCCTTATTCTTTTCAGAGATAGAGTAACACAGCAGCACATAATATCTGGGCTCCAGAGTTCAATTGTTGGGGTTGTATCTGGCTCTTACTCCCTCTGTGCTTGTGTTAAAATGTATCAGTCTCATTGGACTTTCTATTCAACAGGTACTTGTTGAAGCCAGCTATGTGCTGAGTAGTTCCTAGGCACTGGAACAGACAAAAGCCACTGCTCACAAGGAGCTTGTGTTCTAATGGAGGAAGAGAGAAAATAGATATACACAAAATCAGTAAACGATATAGTATGTTTGAAGGTATAAAGTGCCACAGAGAAAAATAGAATAGTATCAAGAGGATAAGAGTGCCGGGGGAGGGAGGGATGTAATTTTCAGTAGGGTCATCATGGTGGGTCTCATTGAAAAGATAAATTTGAACAAAGGCTTGAAGAAGGTGATGTTGAGAGCCATGCAGTTGTCTGGGGGATGAGTATTCTAGGCAGAGGGAACAGGTAGCAGCATAAAGGCTTTGAGGTGGGATTGTGCTTGGTAGGCCGAGGATTCCTGGAGGACCCCGAGAGGAAATATCACTTTGCCTGCTGCAGTGAGGAGCAGGTTTGAAAAAAAAGGTTTGAAAAAAAAACAAAGAAAGGAGTCATTGTGGCTGGACCTCTCGAATGAACAAGGTGGGGACAGTGGATGATTCAAAGAGGCAGAGGTTGGGAGTCAGCTGAGTAGGGCCTGTGGACCATTGTAAGGACTTCCACGCTGAGTAGAATGGCATTACATAGTAATACAGAGTGTTTTGAGCAGCAGAATGGCAAGGTTCCCCTTTATAAAAGGATCATTTTGGCCTCTGTGTTGAGAATTGATGTTAGGGGGACAAATGTGGAAGCAGAGACCAGAGTAAGTGGTAACAATATGAATAAGAGATAACCATGGCTTGGGCCAATGTGGTAGCCATAGGGGGTGGTAAAAAGATGTTGGATTTTATTTAATTAAATTAATGTATTTTTAAAAAAGGTTTTATCTTTAAGTAATTTCTATACCTAACATGCAGCTTGAAGCTATAATCCCGAGATCAAGAGTTGCATGCTCCACTGACTGAGCCAGTCAGGCTCCTGAAGATGTTGAATTTTAAATACATTTTATTTTAAAGATTTATTTGTTTGAGAGAGAGAGAGAGAGAGAGAGAATCTCCAGCAGATTCCCTGCTGAGCATGGAGCCTGGTGTGGGGCTCGATCTCACCACCCCAAGATCATGACCTGAGCCAAAACCAAGAGTTGGACACTTAACTGACTGAGCCCCCCAGGCACCCCAAATTTTAAATACATCTTAAAAAGTAAAGTCAATAGCATTTACTCATGATTGGTTATAGAGTGTGTGAGAGAGAGAGGAATCAAGGATTTTGGCTTAAGTGCTTAGAAATATGGAATGACCCCTAATCGAGGAGGGGAAAACTGTGGTGGAGCAGGTTTTAGGGAGGAGACCAGAAGTTCAGTGTTGGCATTTTAACTTTGAGATGTCCATTAGACATCCAGGTGGAGAGGATGAGTTGTCAAAACATTTGAATCTGGGGGTGGGGAAATAGGTCCAGGCTGGAGATCACTCTAGGAGTTGTCAGAATGGAGAAGAATTCAAAGCAATGAGATTGGTTAATAGTACAAAGAATTTGGGATCTGGAATCAGAGTGCTTGGTACCACCACTTATTAGCTGAGTGACTCTGGGAAAGCAACCTTACTTCTGTGTGACTCATTCTATCTGCCTGTAAAATGAGAAGAATAGTAGTAACTATCTCATGGAGTGAAAGTAGAAATTTAAATCAAAATCGCTGGTACCTATAAAACACCTCTTCGTAAGTGTTAACTGTTATTTTCAGTGCAACTATTCTGTATATCTATTAGGACATCACAAACACATGCACAGACTCATGTGATTAGTGTAGCAATACAGTTTTGTACCCCGTGATGTCATGTTTTGGTTTGGGATGGGTAATTCATACTAATTCCCCTGAGCTGGTTTTGCTTCCAGAATTAAACTGGCCTGGATTTTTGGTGTTTGCTCTGTCTCAGGTTTTGATGCATTTTGAAAGCCTGTATATAGTTTAATATGTGTTACTTGTTCCCAAAAAAGTCTCATGAGTTTCTTCAGTGCCGGTCTCCTTTCCTTTTCTCAGTGCTCAGCAGAGGAGCAGTCAGGTTCACAAGAAAAACACAATTGGAAATCAGGTAGGCATTTTTAAAATAATCAGTGCATGCATGCCCCAAAGAATTTGAACTCAGTTGCTTGACTTATTTTTTTAATGCAAATTAATCATGTGCAGATTTTGCCAAAAATGCAGCTTTTTGTTTTGTTTTGTTTTGGCTTGTAAGGTTTTTGGAGTGCATTGCATTTTTTTTTTTTTTTGGCTATTTTATGCATTTAACTTTATTGATTTATTTTAAATAACCTTTCTGCTATTTGCTCTGCTTTTCAAAATTGACTCCTTGTGTCCTACTTTGCTTGCTTATGTTACCCCTAAATTTGATTTAACATGGAATCTGTGAGTCGGTTCAAGGTTAAAACATGGTGAGTCGTTGCATGAGCTTCTGTCGCTGCTGACTAGTTCACACGTTTGCACAGCTTGGTAACAGTGAAGGGACAGCTCATAAAGAAGGCAGTTGCTCTCTGCCGCACCAAATTCCTGTTGGCTAATGAAGATGTTAATTCCTACGAAGATCTGATCTTTTAAGTTTTTGTGTTTGGGGCTGACCAGCTGTCTCTGACTAATAGCGCTCAGCAGAGATTGCATTAACTCTGACAGTTTGCTGTTTCTTTTATGTTTTATGTGATAATGAATATTTGCATTGTTATTTCTTTTCAACTCAAAACAATGATGATTTTATAGTTTTTTTTTAATTCAGAGGTACAATTATTGAACAAATTGAAACCTCTGCTCTAGAAGTTTTTCCATTGTTTTGAAAGGAGAAGAGGTAATAACAGACTTTATTTTAAAAACTTTTTTTCTGAACTAAAGCATATAATTCTTTGCTATTTCAGGGAACCAATCTTCCGCCTTCAAGGCAAATTGTACGAGCTAAGTTCTGTAAGCTTTACTGTTGCTTTTTCATTTAGCTTCCCAAGGGCACAGTTTGTCTTTAACTGATTAACTCAACTAGCGCTTGCTACTAATTTTTTTAAACTTAGATTGTCTTGTCCATAACACTGTATCATTGAAATAAAAATCCCCTTAAGAGGGTTCATCCCTTCACTGCTAATAACTTGCTGTGACTGAAAGGTATGAACTAGTAAACTCTAAAATGCTGTAATAATAAACCCTTAACACTGTGGGTGCTTTGATATTTCTCTAATTTTAACGGGCCTTAAAATAATTAAAATCATTAATTATCTTCATCTCTGTCCCTTTATGCTATGTTGTTACAAGGCATAATAAGCCTTTCTCTATAACTTGTGTGATAATATCTCCAATAAATGTATTTGGTGCCTCTAAAAGGTGGGTAGATATTAAACATCTGATTTTGATGTATTTGTAGATAAGCCTACTCATTACAATTTTTTGTATTTTTTTAAAAAATAAAACAAAACCCAAATGACATCCATTGCTATTGTACATGGCTTTAAAGTTGAATCTTTTAAAACTAGATACTATATCTTCACTTTATGGAAGTGTAAAGATACTGTCAAATTCCTGGCATAGGCATTTAAAAAAAACAAAAACAAAAACTAAACCCCAAAACATTACACTCTCATTTTTACCACAGATGAAGCAGCCTTAAACTCTTTCTTCCAATTGGGCTCAAGTTAAGAATGAGATTGTGGAGTATCGACAAATTATTTGCCTCATGATGTTTTGGAAGAAAGTCTTTGAAACTAGACATTCCTGGGTTCAAATTCTGCTCTGTCACTTAGTAGCCACGGGGCCTGGGACAAACTGAACCTGAGTTTGCTCAGTTGTGTGATGAAAAGAATGAAAATATATCCATAGGATGATTGTGAGAATCAGAAGTAATTTACATAGTGATGTTTGCAGCTGGGTGCTGGGTGCTGGGTGTGTGACTTGCGAAAGCAGTTACCTTGTAGGTGCTGTTCTTGAAGCTTTCAGGAGAAGAAATATAAAATATAAAAAAATTACAAAAGTAACAAAATCAGAACAATGAAACATTTGGGAAAATTAGCTATGGCAAATTATTCTGAAGACTGCAATGCCGAGATTAAGGCTTGATGTATAAAGGATTTGTCTATAAGACTTTCCTCATGATCAGAAGCTCTAGCTCACAGAAGTCCATACTTATTGGAAAAGCAATAGTATAGTGGCATAAATCCATATTTTAAATCAGATCGAAAGGAAATTCAGAACAGTTTTCAATTATATATTGCTTCCAAATGCTGAAATAATGTTAATTGTGTTTCTGTGACTTTACTTTCACTGAGTACTTCAAAGCCCATACATTATGGAGGTCTTAAAATTCAAGATAATAGAATTGGGTAAGTCTCATAATAGAATACAGATCCCTACCCAAAACCCTTGGGGCCAGATGCGCCTTTAATGTCAGAACTTTTTGGATTTTAGAAAAAAAGTACATTGCATATATCATATAGTACCCAGTATTCCTATGGGGTCAGAGACACAGCACCCTTTAATTAAACACGTTATGTTTCTGCAGGAAAACAAATGAACAGTCACACTAAGATGAAATGAGAGATATTTTCATGTCAGGTCAGATTTTGCTGCTAAATTTTTGTTTTGTTTATTTATTTAGTTAGTTTTAAATTTTTTAGAAAGGGAGAGAGAGATGGGGAAGGGGCAGAGGGAGAGGGAGAGGAGAATCTGAAACAGGCTCCACACACAGCACAGAGCCTGACTCAGGGCTCAGTCTCACCACCCTGAGATCAGGACCTGAGCCAAAATCAAGATGGCCGACTGAGCCACTCAGGTGCCCCTGTCTGTTTGAAAACAAAAACCTTTTACTTTGCAAGTAAGGGGTTAGGAACCAGAATATCTATTTGCTGCTTAGCAGAAATGAACTATAATTACTTGAAACCATTTTCTTTATGAATCTGAATGTCCGAGGTTGATTTGAATTTGTATAAAAAGTCTTTGCCTATTAAGAAGCTCAAAGGCAGGGACCCTTAGAGCCCAGTCTTTTAACTCATGCTAGCTTTTATGGTTGGTGGGGCAGAAATACTGTGTTATCCTACAGGTGGTTCATCCATTCTGATATTCCTTTAGGGCTCTTGGTTGTAAGAGATTCTGCTGTACAGAGTCTGCTTTAGAAGGAATTCAGAAAAGGAAAACCCCTTAAAGGCAATCCCATTCATTTTTGGCTGCCTAGAAATTTGTCAGCTTGAAAGTTCCACAAATTGATGTCAATGTTGGTACAAAAAAATGTGAGCATATAATTAGCTTAAAGTTGCATTGCCCCAAAATTTAAACATAACCTTCATTCATCCCTTCACTCATCAAATATGTATTCAAAACCTAAGAGTATGAAAAACTATGGTAGATGTTTAGTACAGAATGATAAATAAATCATGGGTCCTGTCCTCGGGGACTTCACAGCCCAGTGGGGATGATGGTAAGTAAGCACCTGAAGTCTGCCATCTTTTCCAAGGCTAGCTCCTTCTAATCCTTCAGGTCTTCCTGAATGTCACTTCGGGAAAGGATTGGCCCCGGCCATCAGATGTAAAATCACCTTCCCTTCCTACTGTCTTGACATTATCTATTATCTTCTTGTTTACTTTTTGAACTTCCTTCACTAGGACCTGAGCTCCATTAATTTTTTTTTTTTTTTGATCCAGAAGGCCATGGAGTATCACTGTAAGGTTTTAAGTACAATCATAATGTACCAAACCCTACAGATATTTTTTTTTCTATACATACATACATACCTGTGATAAAGTTTAGTTTATAAATTAGGCACAGCAAGAGATTAACAACAATAATTAATAATAAATTAGAATATTATAGCAATATACTATAATAAAAGTTGTGTGGATGTGGTCTCTGTCAGAATATCTTCTTCTACTGTAGTCATCCTCGTGCTGAGGTGGGATGGTCAAATGCCCATGCGATGAGAAGAAGTGAGGTCAGCGACACAGGCACTGTGTTATGGTGTTGAGCTACTGCCAACCTTGTGCTTTTAAGTCAGAAGGATCATCTGCTTCTGGGCTGCAGTTGACAGCCGGTAACCCTGACCACAGAAAGTGAAACCTCAGCTAAGAGAGGACTGAACACATCAGGATGAAGGGGAGAATGTGTAGGGCTGGAGGCTGACATCAGTGGGCGGGATGTTGTGTCTCAAGGAGACAATGCCACCTAAAGGTCAGAGAGGTTATTAGAATAAGGCACAGAATTGGAGGAGGGGAATGACAAATGAGAACCACAGATATTTGTAGAACATTGTTTGTCCTCAGAAGGTCTGGGTGGCTGAAGAGAAACGGGGATGAAATTCCCTGGATTTAAGGATAGATCTACGATATTTGGAAGCTGGAGGGATTACATGGCTGATCATGCATTCCTTTAGCTACAAGAATCTAGGGCAGGAAGACACCGCGGACGTGCTCATTGGCCCAGACTGCATCCAGTTAGGAAGTACTTAGGAAGAAATGTATGTTGAGGAAGAATCTTGCTTCAGACCGGGAGCAGAGCAGGTTCGTGCAGGAGCCTGAGTCTCGGGCTGCCTCCCAGTCCTGGGCTCCGTGTCTGTTTTCCACCAATGCGCCTTCTCCTGCTGACTTCAAATTGGAGTCGGAAATTGAGCTTTCCCAAACTGATAGGCCTCCAGATAACTGGATCCCCAAACCTCCTGAAGCAGAAAAGAACTTTCTCACCAGAACAGGGTTTTGTCCCTCCCCTACTTTCTTGAAAGCCAGTCTCTTTTCTGTAGGACCCCCAAAAGCTGGCAGCACATCCCAGCATCCTGAAATTCGCCTACCGAGCCCCGTAGCCGTCCGGCCTCTGCAAGGACACGGTTTGAGACCAGTGTTGGAAGAGGCGAGAGTTTGCTGCGCTAAGTGACGGCTGGTTAGGAAATCTGCCCTCCTCCTCGGCCCCAGCAGACCCACTCCCAGCCCCCCTCCTCTCTCCCGGCGGCCCCTTTACATTTCAGGGTCCGGCGGCCCGTCCTCCCCTGACGTCCCGGTATCAGGGTCTAGATCAGGACCCTTCCAGGTACAAATTTCGGAAAAATTTAACGTACGCAACCTCGGAAAAAACCGAGTTAATTAACTTACGTGTTTGATTATTTCGGGAAAAAAGTTAAGTGGGGTCTGAGCTCCGGTGTCGACAGGGTCGGAATGGGCTGGTGTCAGGAACCGCGACGGGCCGGAGGGGCCCTTCCCCTTCTTTCCTCTGCGTCTTTGCTGTTGGCTCTGCTCTCGGGCCCCCAGGACTGCGGCACGACAGCTATGGGCCCTTAGGGGTTTCCCGACTTCGAACCCGACAGAAATAAGCGGGTCTTCGTCGCAGAGGTCTCGGAGAAGCTCCCGCGGCTCGCTCGGATGGAACAGGCTGGGATCGGGGCTCTTCCGGGGCCAGTCCCTGCGGCGGACAGCGAGGCGCTCTGATTGGCTCAGGCCAGGTCACGTGGGGGGCCCGGGGGGCGGGGCTCCTGGGACCGCGGTCGGAGCTGTGGTCGGAAGAGGAGGGAGCGACCCTGGAGGACGTGTGGCGGGGTTGATGGCGACAGGTGCTTTGTTGAGCTCTGTCTGCACCACGATTTAACTCGGATAATAGGATTCTTAGGTATATTGTCTTGTTAAAGAGATGTAACGTGGTGAAACCGGTTAGTAAAACCCTGTGGTTCATTAGTGACTAATGAGCTGCTCCCAGCTCATCCTCTCACTTTCTCTCCCCTCATCTCCGTCTTCCGAGCAAACGAACAGAAGCATTTCTGTGGGTTCTGTTCAGTTGAGAGGTAGGACAGTGTCATGGTTCTTCAGAACTGGAACTCGGAAATCACCCTGTGGCCAGGAGCAAATGTTGAACGTCCTGTTCCTCAGGCTTCTAAATCAGGTGATGAAATAGGATCATGAAGTTTTTGTAAGGATTTAATGAGATAATACAAGCT